CATAATCAATTACGTGGTCTAAATTTGCCACAATAATGGATTATAATGGATTATAATGGATTATAATGACAACATTTTAATACAACATTTTTCCATTATAATCGATTATTATCCATGGAACTCCGGTGCGGGTATGCCAGATCCCGTTCTGTGCTGTCACTAATCTTACCTTTTAAACGAATATGTCAACATGCATTAGCCTTCAGGTATAACTAAATTGCTTACTAACCGCTTTTTTGGACGATGATGTTGAATGAAGACTTTTTTTCAGCTCGCAACAAACTAGCCATTTATTCTATAAATCAAGTTTGATGTAAGATTTCGGAGTTTCTTTTATAAATTAAATTCTATCGATGCAATCAATACCTTGCGAGTTAATGAATTTTTTTTGGTTGGCAACAATTTGCATGTACATGAATTTCATTTTTGGGAGTTTTTTCGGCTTAAATGTCATCATAAGTCCCTTCGATCTAATGACCAGCACAATAGCTCTGTTTACACACGTGTTCCCAATAAACTGGTTACCGGTAGTTTTGCTTTTATCTGCGGCGTATTTTTGCCCTGAGCTTGCGTCCGAGCTTGACACAGAGTTGACTATGCCAATTAAGTCCAGTACTCTGAAAAAAGAAGGAACTATACCATAATCGAATGCGGCAGGTGCAATCATCTCATAGCCGAAGAACCGAATGGCCGAAAATTTTTAACAAATGAAACAGTCCATAACAGAGAAAATATCACTCTCATTTCTTCGCACATTTCTGAATGCTCAATTCTGACTGACTATCTAAATAGTTTTAGAGATATTTATTCGACCTATACGTCCATAAATGGGTTTCAAAAAATTTTTAAAACATTTTTCTTTAAGAAATTTTTTTGAAACGGATTAAGCAGTTTTTTAATTATGCTAGTCGTATTATTCCAATGTATGGGAAAAGTATGAGTAGCTTGGGTCTTTTCTGTTATACGGCCCAAAATTATCAAGTTATTAACTGAGCCTCCGTTTTCAATAAAAATCCTCATTTTTTTGCTGGAGTTATTTTCAAACAATCAGAGTTCAGCATTTAGAATTAGTTTTCGAGACTAAAAAATATTATTTTTGGGCTGTATAACAGAAAAGGCTCATTAGCATTTTGTTCTATGGTAGTCAGACTAGGCTGTCATAGTTTTCGTCTATTCAGCCCTTCGGTCAGGATGGATTCACCCGAACGGGGCTGATGAGCGCTGATGTTGATTTGTTCGCTGAGTTGCATCTTCACGGCTTTGCCCTTTTTTCTCTCTGTTTTATTAATTGGATCGGACGGGGGGCATTGTAGTCTTGGCACCATCACTTCACTTCTTATCTTTCATCATCGTCTTTTTGATCAGCTTTGAAATCAGTTTACTCTTTGTGTAATATTATAATATTATTTTTTTATTTTCGTCTTCAGTTCGTAAAGTATTGTCGACAAACGAGCAAATTTCGATTTTTTTTTTCGATTTTTTTTTACTTTTAGCTTTTCTAATTTGAAAAAAAAAGAAAAACCTTTCATTTTTTTCTGTTATTAATGCGGTCGCAACTGTCTGTGTTACTCGCACAGCCACCGGTTATCCATGTTTCAATGTATTTTTGATTTTATCTTCGAATATATATTTTTTTTCGTGAGGGCAGAGCGACTCAACACTACCAGGGAGCAAACTACAAATGGCTTCATCATAACGTACAAAAACCAAATTCTAGCCTCTTTAACTGGCACTGAATCAATAATGAAGGGTAAACACTATAAGTTTGTCTGAAGCAAATTTTTCATACCGGCTTTTCTCGATACTGAGAAAACTTTTTTAAATTTATTTATCGACAATTGTTTTTGAGATGGATCGAAGCAAGGATTTAATGCCATATACCACTCGACCCATTTGCTTTTATTGTGATATCTGATTTGAATGAGAAAAAAAATTCGAAAAGTGTAAAAAAAAAACAAATCCGAATAGGAATTTTCTACCCACTTTCAGTGGTCGTAACCGATACGGTAACTTTCAATTTTAATAATTGTTCTTGTCAGTAGCAAATCAAATGTGAAGTATGCTAATATTTATTCATGTCCATTTGTGACATTAACAAGGGATAGTATACGTTTAAATTTAGAACCCTTGTCACAGACATCCAACTTAAGAGGAAACAGTTCAGAATATGTTCTATCTTTCTGCGTTTAGAAGTTATCAAATATTAATTTTTTACTCTTGATTCAAGAAAACTTTTCCGACAGAAAAAAAAATTAATTTACCCGGGAACTTAGGCGATTTGAAAAATGTTATTTATTATTAGGACAAAAAATCTTTAGCTGAACAGTTTTGAAAAGTTTTATGTTAAAAGAAAACACCAAAACTCCATGAAAGTTGACTAAAGCAAAATTAGCATTTTGTTTAAAATTGAGACTGAAAGTCAATAAAAAAGTTCTGGGCGAGACTTAAAAAAATAATGCAATTATAAAAACAATTTCGTGAAACAACTGTTACCAAAAATAAGATGGTACCTTTTGCTGTCGGAAACTTTTTGCTCCGTCGCTCCATGAAATTAAATGATACAAAATCATCGTGCTTTCTCCTTTTTTCTAGAATTTGTATCCTACAATGTTTTAATCAGTTGAATTAATAAAGTAAAAATCATTTCTGAACTCAAATAAATAATTCCAAAGAGAAGCTTTGAAAACTTTTGCAGCTATTACTAGCTATCTTTTTAAAAATCTTATATTTGCTTTTTTGTCAAAATTTACGGCAATTTTTTTTTGAAATTTTTTGCACTACTTGAATGTATTTGTAGCTTCCAACTTTTTTCCAAATAGGGTATCTTTTTATTCTTTTCAGTTGCCTTAATCATAAAACTTTAATGTCAAAATTAAAACCTACCAACATAGTAAAAAAAAAACAATTTTTAGTTTTGCAGAAAATTGGCACTCGCATCCAGTACAAAATAGGATCATGGTTCTTCTTCAAAGATTTCACATCAATATCAAGACGAATCGAATAGTTAGTGCATATTAGTTTATTAAATTTGCATGCCGCGATATCTGATTCGAATCAAATATGCGCAAAACATTTTATTGGAAACTTACTGGCTCAAAAACAAATCAGTATGGAGCTTATAGTGTGGAACTTCAGATAAAATTGATTTGCTGAAATGTTAAAAATGTTCAGTACTCGAATTGGTGCGAACTTCGAAACCGTGACCTTTTTGTTTTTTGTATTAGTGCGAACTTTGTAACCGTGACCTTTTTGTTTTTTGTATTAGTGCGAACTTCGTAACCGTGACCTTTTTGTTTTTTGTATTAGTGCGAACTTCGTAACCGTGACCTTTTTGTTTTTTGTATTAGTGCGAACTTCGAAACCGTGACCTTTTTGTTTTTTAAATTAGTGCGAACTTCGTAACCGTGACCTTTTTGTTTTTTTAACGCAAAATCCAGTATTTCTAACAAAAATTAAGGGGCCCTCTGATGAACCAGAGCACAGCTTGGTTGGCCTTCATTCGACTGACCTTAAAAAAACTAAAATTTTTGCCCCATCTCAAGAAAAATCATTCGAAATTTTCAGACTTAATTTAGAGTGAAGGTAATTCTATAGTCTATTTTAATGAGACTTAAAAAGTCTTTTGCGGTAAGTAATTTACTGTTAACTAGTTCTTGGAAATTCTGTTAGTGCCTCTTCACGCCAAAAAAAAATGACTCAAGGAAATACGAAAAAAAAAACATTAGTTTTTTTTCAAAGATCAAATAGCACAACTGTGGTGTCATTTATAAGCAACCTTTCACTGTTGTTTTTTAGCAATAAAATCCGATGCAAATGTTTTCTTGTAAAAAATTTTTCTGTATTTTTGTGTTTTGGAGTTCGTATTAATAATTATATGTATTTTGTTATCAGCTGATATTGCGTGTTTCCTGTCAGCATCAGAGCTTTAGTCTGATAAGCCCCCCTCATATTTTCATCCCATTTGACATTTTATCTAATTTTGTCTCTTTCTCGCTCTGCCCACTATCATAACCAGCCATCTCCAAATTAGCAATAAAAGTTAAGCCTTACCCAAATTTGCCATTTGTTTGCCCCAACCGAACTTTAATCCATCCTTGTTTTTATTTTACTAATAGAAATTATTATACCCAATAAACTATCCTATTTCTTAACTCCTAATTTTTCTTAAAATCCCTTCTTGGCAGACTAAATCTACAAACTGAATACTTTTTCATCGAAACTCAAAATGTACTTTTGATTGCTATTTCTAAGCTTTTTATTCACTTGAACTTGAACTTGTGATCTAACTTACTAAATGGCAGCGCGAATGTCTAGTTGCAATCAGCAGGACCCCGTCGATCTACCGCAACTCGTTTCCGATTTGATTCCACCCGAAATTACCATTGAACATCCGAGTCCCGAGTTGAAGCACGACTTGAAGTTGCAGCTCCAACAGCCTGTTACGACTACGTCGGCTGTTCCGATGGGGTTTGGTGGCAGCGGCGGAGCAGGGGGTCGTAAGTTCCGACCGAGGAAGAGTGGCTTATCCCACCTAGTACAGTGCAGTGGGATTGGTACGACAGTATTCCCGGGTCGAAATAGCGGACCTTAGTTGGGTTTTTACATGATTTACGTTAGAAAAATATAAGTCGAATAAAACAATATATTACAATAGTTAATCTATAAACCTCATAAGCAATTTGCGTCAAGTTGTCAAACAGCTACAAATCATTGTCAAAATCTAGTTTTTGAGCGTTAAATTAAACGTGCGGTAATTTCGAACCGGAATCTATGTAAGTGGGGGGTCTTCAAACCTCGGACGAGAGTGAAGGAGGAAAAGGAGAGGGACTGGACCGGAAGCAATTCCAGCTGGGCTCATCTTCAGGGCCGACTGCTACAATCCAAATTAACAGCAAACAGAAACAGCAAGTCTCAAAAGCATCAAATCCTAAAATCTCACTTAAAAAATGAGTTTAGTCTTCGAGAGGTCTTAAACGTTTCTTTTTTTTCGAATTTTAATTCCTAATTTTTGCAAATCGATGCCATATATCAATTTTTTGACTTTTTTATGCGCAGCCAACTTGCTAATTGAAGTAACTCGTATTTGAACCATCTCAGTTATAATTTTAGCATATGTCATTTTTCTGTCACCAAAAAATCAGATTACTGAAATTAGAGATTATATTCATCTATTAGCTATTTTCTTTATTATTTACTTGTTTTCCGGTATCCACTCAATTCTGACATAAAAATAATTTACGTTGCTTTTTTGCTTTTTTATTACAAAGAAGATATTTAGTAGACTGAGAACGCTTTACGAAGTAGAGTCTCAGATTTGAAACTTGCAGGACGAGAATTTCCAAATCTATTCAACCAATCGCGACAATCAGGAGAAATAAACAGAGAGCTTTTTCAAACTGCGAACAGCGGAAAAGATCGACTGGAATGCGAGAGCCGAACGGTTCAATCCGAGCGGGTGCCGAGATCCGACTCCGAGCGATGAGCACGGGGACGCCCCCGAATGAGGACTCGGAATTCCACGGGCGGACTCGGGTGAACTCGGCACACGAGCACAGCTCGGCTCCGGAGGCGATGAGTAAGGGGAGTATGAGTCTGTTGTCGCCTGTTTCGTGGGAAATTGAATTCCATAAGCTGTCCGCCTCTTGTCCCCTCAACTTCAAGTAAGTATCGCTTTTCCAGTTCTCCCCTTTGATTTTAGCGAAAATATTATTACAGGAATTTGACCTTCACAATTGATCCAACATGAAACATTTTCGAGCATACAAATTGTCGTATGAACAAATTTTAGATACTTTTATAAACTATAGTTTTGATTATTTTTCATTATTATATTTAACTTGACTAAATTTCCGCAGTTTGGTGTAAACTGTTTTGCGTAACTCGGACCCAAAAACACAGCTTTGGAACAGGTCAGTTCGTCTGGTCTAAAATTAACCAGAAAGTACAGGATCAATTGATATAAAAATTATATCAATTGCCAGTGTATTTTCCGTATAATTTAGGAGCAGGCAAAATTTAGCGATATATTTTTGGGTCAGAGTTTTGCTAAATAAATTACGCCATTGAAATTCTGGTGAAATTTTGAGATTCTGGTAAATCACTTTTTATTTGAATTCAACCGAATTTGAGAAAATTAATTACTTGAAAAATTCAATTAGTTCATTTTATCCAATTGTTTTAAATCAGCAATGTATCAGCTTTTTGAACAGTGAAACTTCCGAGAACAACAGGAAAAAACTTGATCAAAAAGTCTACCAATGTAATGAAACGTAACATCAAAATTCGGCAAATTTTAGCTATCGATTGCATTAAGAATGGTATGAATAGTTTTGGTTTATGAGAGATGCTTATTAGAGATCTTTCATCATTAAAGAATGTTTGCGTTCAGACTGTTTTTGTAGGTGCTTTTTCCGACAGCTCAAATTTCTTGCTACTACAAAAAATTGACCCGACACCGAAATATTCAGTGGTTATGTGTCCTTCTAATTTCTTCCACATCCGAGTTTTTAAAAAAAAAAATTAGCTCGACAAAGACTGGAATAAATACATAATAGCAATTGAATATTATTGAAAATTTTTTATTCAAATTTTTTTTGTTTTTTGAGAATTAAATTTAGAATTTAATTAGTTTGAAGCTAACTTAATTAAGGATAGCCGGTCATTGTGCAAAAAGCACAGAATAATCCGACCATGGTCTTTGGAAAAATACAAAAAAATTAAATTAGTGTTGTTTTTTTCTCACTTATTAGCTGTCACAAGAACTTTTTTCTCCTTCATTAGCTCAAAATTAGACCAAAAACCAAAAAATATAAACCGGTTTTTCTCATCATTGATAAAATTGTTCCAAATTTTTTAGTATCGTTCGAATCACAACTGAAATGGTTTTAAAATTTCATATCACTCGACCCATTCTGATGATTATTTGCGGTACCTGATTTTGTGTAGAAAACAAAAAAAAATTGAAACACACGTTCCTCATAAAAATTTTCAAATGGTAGAAACAAAAAAATTATTTTTTTTTTCAAACCCACAAAGCTAAATTATGAAATTGAAAAATTTTATACTTAACTTAATTTAAATTTCAATTGTTCAAACTAAATTTCAATTTTTTACAGATAATCAAGGCATCTTTTTTATTTTAAGTTTATCCATTTTTGTGCCTTTGATCGCCTCATTCTACATCCCACTGAAGCTATCGGGAAGATCAAACTTTAAAATTTGCAATCTAAAAACATTGCAGTGATGAGATTTTGATTTTGGCTTTTAGAAAAAGATTTTATTTGAAGCTTGAGCACATGATCAAACCATTCATATTAGCCTTCCCAGATGGGGAACCCCAAATGCGCGTACGACCAAATGCGCGGAAAATTTTTCAGCCAATCAAAATTTATATCATTATTGTTCCGACTTTCGATACGAAAGTAACGGAATATTTGTGCTCGGGGTGGGTTTTTTTTTCTTCAGACAAATTTCGACTTTTTAACTAGACATTTTTGACGGAATTTTTTTATATCATTCGAAAAGTATTGTTGCCTTGAGCTTAAATTTGAAAAGATATTGATCATTTTTCTGTGATCATTTTTCGTAAAGACTGTGATCATTTTTCGTAAAGTTATGAGGGTTTAAATATTGCCATTTTGGCCATTTTGACCAATTTGGGACAATTAACGCGCGATATTTAATTTAATCCGTCTTATAATTCGTTCCAAGTTGGTTGAACGAAGAAGCTTATTTGCATAATTGATTTGTTACAAGGAACGAAATCTCTCTTTTTGTACTTTATATGGCGTGTGGGGGGATGATTTTCAGCAAAACTTTCAAATTTAAGAAAAAAAAATTTTCATTTTATTTTATTTCATTTAATTTTTTTAAATGTAATTACTGCTGCTCCATAAACCTTAAAAGGCAGTCGGAACATTCAGGGCTTCGCCCTGATACGAGCAGTCTTGTTATTAATTTAGTCATTATTTATAACTTCGATGCAAATAAAGCGATAAAATGAGTCATTTTTGGACAGTCTATAGGGCATGAAATGAACGCGAGTTTTCGCACATTCGGTTCTTCGCGCGCACAGTAATAGCTACTTTCCCAGATATCATATTTTATTACTTTCATGCTATTCTTAAAAAGGTCACTGTGCTTACTTTTCAGATTACTACGGGAGATTCTTCTGCTATTTAGATTTTTGTTCCAATTTCTGTTCTGATTTTCCTGTTAAGATTTTCCTGTTCAGTTTGAGTAAAATTTTGCTTCCAATCAGACTTAAGGGCTCAAAAGAGAACTTAATCAGCTGTTTTTGCGTATTTACAGACTTATGATTAATGAATGGAGGAAACTTCTTCAAACAAGTAGAGATCTATTTTGAGATTTGCCGATGAAGTTGTTCACGTGTTGTGTTGACCTCCAAGTAAACTGAAAATGCACAAGTCACACTATTCGATATAAATCTTCAGAATTTTTAATTGTATAAATTTTATGGCATCTGTATGACTAATGTTATTTGTAAACCCGTGCTGCTTGAACAATAAATCAAGATTTGCGCCCTTGATTACTGTTCCCAGCAGGTGTTTCGGACATTTAATTTTCTTTATTCGGTTGCATGAGTTTTGACAGTTTGCCTAATCATACTTTCGATTCGCCCTCCGTGAATGAAAACAAAACATGTTAAATTTCTGAAATTATAGTCTATACTGACTGCATAGGGCGATCAGTGCATTAAGTTGAAAGAAAAACTTCCTTCATTCAAATCATCCACATTAACCGAATGGATATATTTTGGACCAACGTCCACATGAGTCAAAAATATTGGACTACGGGTACAAAAATTATAATTGGATTTCTGTGGAAAGCAAGTATAAAAATGCGACCTTTTTTCATCTGCTAAAAACTTAGAGACTTTTTGTAATTTCGGTACCCAACTATCATACTTGCACCATCAGGCATAAAAGTAGTTCTATAGAACATACCGGCAAAGTGTTTTTTTTTTGGAGTTTCTTTTCTATTGATAGTTATGTTACGAGCCTTTTATGCTAATTGAAGCACATGCTAATGCATACCTTATTTTTTATCAACCGTTTGATAGAAGAGTGGGCTCAACTTTGGAATGACGGGAGTCTTAAAATTGCGGTGACACGGGTTGAGGCAGTGAATTTGAATTTCAAATTTAATTTGCAAATGCCCCGCGCTTAATCCTTACCAATCTTTCCCTTTTCTCTCTAATTTCACTCTCAATTTATTCCCGACCACTTCCCTATTTTATATTTCAAAGGTCATTTATAACACACAGAAGGGTCTCAAATGTTTCCAAGTAACATATGCAATGGCTTTTGCTTTTTCAAAAGACAATAATGAAGTTTTTTCCCTCTAAGTGACATTTTCCCATTCTTTCCGCCATGGATTATTCTTTTTGCCCGCATGGAATAATGAAAGGTTGAAATGTTGAGAAAAGAGCTAGAAAACAAAAACTCGATTTAAGCTACTCAAGCAAAAAAGTCCTTTTTACTATTAGTTTTTACTTGAGTTGTCTTTAGATTTCGTTGCGTCTCCGTGAACTGTTAAATTGAATTTTTATTTGAAAAATCCAATTCAGATGCATCATTTAACTCGATAAATCTGATTTTCTTATGTGATTAAAGTAATGGCGAATATAATCTCGATTAGATTATTTCATTGATTAATAAACTCAAAACAGTTTTCGACAATCTTTTCTTTATTTTGGCAGAAAAATTTGAACCTTCATTACGATAACACTTAACTTTTGTTTATTTTGAAATTCTGCCATAAATATTGGTGGAAATAAACTGTTCTTACTACTAATTATTGTTACTATTTGTCATGAGTGGTCATCTACAAGTAGGCGTGTTGGACCGCCGTCTAAGTACTGTGGAAACTTCCACTTTGCATTTGCCTAATAGTCCGCATCTGCTGAAGCCCAAATTGAGCATCTGTTTCAGTGGACAACTTCCAGATGGGGTTTTGAATGTGCGCACTTCGTTCCAGAGCCGACCCAGTCTCATAGCTCTGGGATCCAAGGCCAACAGCGTCACTAAATTTCCAGTGTTCGTCCAGACATACTCGAACAATTCCAACAGTGGCAATCCAAACGACACTCATGGTCAGCGTCCAAATTGTGTACCCCCCCTCTCACCATTTGTAATCGATTATTTCTGAGGCGAAAGGCTCAAGAACTTTGCACACATTATTCTTTGATACAATTTCACGACACAATTGATAAAAGATTCAATAATTTCTAGTATTGTGTCATACGCAAAAAGTGTCATTTTGACCAGTGGTAGAGTGGGTATACTTGAGGGGGGGTACTTTTCCTTTCAAGGGTTCTACCCTGTCAATATCTTTGGTTTTGATTTACGGCATCCATTTTCGGCCGACCAACCCTTTAATTATTTTTCTTATTGAGATGTAAATTTGAGATAATAAAGCGCTTTTTAAAAAATTTTCAAAACTTTTGCACTTCTTGGTGCAGAAAACTTTAGCAAGTAGGTTCTTCATACTTTTTTGGGAGAGCTCGCAAAACCAGTTGGATCGAGCCAAAAAATGAGGTCGTTGCGAATTATTGTACTTCTCTGTGGAATTTGAACGGCAGGAAAAGTTGGACAAAAACTCGAAGAACGGAAAAATGTATGACGCACTAACAAAAAATGTACCAATTGAACATTCTACCTCCTTAATCATTTAACGAAGGAGGTCAGTCACTTGGATAGAAGTATTTTCTTACTTAATCCGAATCTGACAATTTGCGCGTTTTCTTGCTGCATAAAGTTGTTGTTAAATTCATGGGATGATCATTTGTGGTTGACTTAGGGAGGAAATCGTTCGCATGGAGCATGAAATCAAAAAAAGGCTGGTTTCTGTTTTAGAAGATGCCGATAGCTTCTTGGGCGAGCGGAAAGACTCGACCATCATCATCGCCTCTGCTGCTGAAGAGGAGACTCCTCGGAGGAACTTCGACTTCTGCCAGGTGGCCGTTCTGCTGAGTGAGCTGCAACTGCTAGTGGGCATCCTGGCTGTCACATTTGCAATATCCATGCACACTTCACCCTCCATTCCACACTGCTACACTCCTCACTGGGCAGGCGTTCCTGTAAGTCCAATTAGCAGAAAACAAAAACGGGGGTCGTTTTTGATGATTTTTCTACATGCAAATTTTCGTACATGGAAACTTTGAAGTTTTCACTAAAATAACAAAAATTTATTGGCTATTTTTGAGCCCAATAGTCAAAATAGAATGATTATAAACCAATTTAACTTTACTTGATTATTCAAAAAGACTTTTTAGACAGCAGAAAGGACCACGGAAGGTTTATATTTTTAAGGAGCACCGTTTTTATCCCCATGATTAAGACCTGGATACAAATTATGAACATTTTCATTCTGGATTGAAACGCATGACGCGGAGCTCAGAGGAAACTGTTTTCACAAGAAGTGAAACTTTGTTGCAGGTGTGTGTTGATTGTTGTATTTTCTAGCTGTTCATCGCTGGGTTGATGGGGATGGGACTCAAATGTCGCAACTGGAAGCCAGCCTGTAGTCCACTCACCCTCAAAGTCATCAAGGTCACTTTGTTTAAATCTTTTGTTCTTTACAACCCTTTCCCATATCCTTCTATATCGGTTGGTATCTGACTCTCTGTTGTTTCGCTTTGATAGTTGAATTGTTTTCAAAATTTCAGGCTGTGTTTTCTTTGGTGGTGTTGGTGGCAGGTGTGACGTCCCTAACTGCTGCCGTTCTATCCATCTCTTTTCTTCATCACCTGATGCAACTTCACACTCCTCAAATAATTCCGCCAGTTAATCCAACCTCCCTTCAGAGCTCTTCTCACATCGAGGGTTCAATCGCGTCTTCTCGCTACAATTATAAATGTCTCTTCAATCAGTCGGAAACCAAGTCCTCTGAGGACCAGTCGGATGATGGGATCCGGGAGTTCTCGGTTGCCAACATGCGCAAACCGGACGACTGTGAGAACTTTTTGTTCAACGTGAAAAATTACTCTTTCATGCAGTGTGTGATTCTTCTAATTGGATGTTCGGTTTCTGTCGTGATAATTGCAAACAACTACTTGCATCAAATCAGAGGCAAGATTCGTAAGGTAAAAGAAAACCGGGTCTCTCTAAGGTTTTCGGGCACTGATGCCAATAAACATCTGGACCGGATCAAAGAGTTCCAGAGTCGCACAACTAACATGGCAAATTTGGTCAACAATTGCAGCTTCGACTATCCGGAGACAAACAGCGACGCCTGTTACCGAGACGAGAACAACCGAATGGACGAGCACAATTTCCACGACTGGAGTCCGACGACTCGTCGCGAGATGTTCCAGTTGCCCCGATTCCGCAACTCGAAAGACGGCAACAACGTATTACCAGGCGTCATCGTAGAGTCCATGGATGACAGCCTCTGATTTTCCTAATCGAAACAAAAAATATTTGTATCCTCGTTTATCTCACTTGATGTATCACTCCATGCATTAAATAGTTAATGCCAAATTGTTAGCAAACTTTGTTTTCGGTCAACGAAAACGAATGAAGTTGATTCACAAAAAATTGCACGTTTTTACGTCATAACCGTTTTTTTGCTATTCAACTCATGCCAATTTTTTGAAAAATCCAATTACCCAATGAAACTTTTTGATGACATTTAAGGTTAATCAAGGCCGGTGATATTTGCCAACAATTTGACATTTACTGATCAAAACATTTTATTAGTCTAGAAATTAGGAAAAAGTTTATAGCAATATAAAAAACTCTTTTCATAGATTTATGATTGAAAATTTTATTTATGAAGAATTGATGATCAGTCATAAAATCTATTACATTATTGACCCGACCATAAAATGTAGGAAGTAAATGTGTTTTCAGGTGCTTTTTTAACGCAAAATAATGAACAACAGACAATTTTTAGGAGACAAGTAATATAGCACACTGAAACTTTCTTAGACGTGGTCTGGGCTGCAATGAAAAAAACTCACAAAAATGATACTACACTTTTGCAAAATAAGAAACACATAAATTTCTATAAATTTCTATTTATATTTTCCCCATTATTAATTTCGACTTATGTTTTTCCCGATCTTTTTTTAGGCACTTACATTTCAAATGTAAGTGCTAAAAATTAGATCAAAGGTTTTTCCTCAACTGAGAACTTAAATCGAGGCTGCTTTTTATAAATCGACAAGCTCTTCAGTTTATGTAAGCTGTTCAGTTTATTCATTTATTTGCTTCAATGCTAGTGCGACATTTTTTGTTCCGACTTTTTGTGCCGACGGAATATTTATGCTCGGTGTGGTTTTTTCATTCAGTCAATTTTCGCCGATCGAAATAATAGCTTTCGATAAAACTTTTTTATACCCATTTAAGATATCGATTTCCTGAGTTCAAATGTAAAAAGACATTTAACCTCCGATTATTTGTTGTAAAATTTTGGGGTTCGAAAACTGAAATTTCAAAGTTTTGCAAATTTGAAATTTCATTTGAATCAAGACAAACAATTACAAAAGGTTTGGCCCCAATCTGATATTTATTTGTATTACTTTGTTTTGTGTGGTAAAAATCTATAAAAAATACGTTTACAGACGAAGTTCCTCAAACTGCACTGAAGGACAGCGGTTGCTATCTACTATACCAAACAACCAGGACAGATCGCGGTTGCTATCTACTATAACAAACAACCAGGATTGACCTAAAATACTTGTCAAATAACTTTCATACATCATCCTAGTTTTATGACACAAATTTTCTATTCATAAAAACTGTATGAAAAGCATTTCCTCGAAAAAAAGCCATGTACTGCTTTAAATTCTGACGTTTTGTCAAAACCAGACCCTCCCTCCAGGGATTTTGATAATAAAGAAAACTCTTAAGTTAAATAGCGAAAATAACACAAAAGAACTTCGTTTGAAGCTTATCCCTACATAGTATTTGTTACAATTCACACAGCATTTGGACCAAGTTAACATCCTCCCCCCAAACACGTTTAGCGGGGAGGATGTTAACTTGGTTCTAAGTTGGGAATTTTCAGCCAATCAGAATCGAGCCAATCAGATTCTAATTTGAGTTACAGGCAAAAATTTCGAATTTGACTAGGACTACGTTATAGACAAGAAATAAAAAATTGTTCAGGAAGATTTTTAAAAAAAGTTTTGCAAGTGGCGCATATGACTCGATTGGGGTGACATGTAATTAGAACCATTTGCCTTTTTGAGAAATTGGTATTGAAGTATTTGAGTGTTTCTAAATTATAATAGTCAGTGAGAAAAAATTGGAAGACAAGTTTATGCATTTGTAGATACGACTTCAAAGGTTTTCAAATATAACTCGACTCCATCTAACCGTGATTTGTGTTAGCTGTTGACTTGAAACAAAACTTTTTTTCAACTTTTTGGCCTGGAACTAAAATTTTTCCGGTTATATTTTCTGATGATACCGATAGTACCGATAGAAGATATTCGTATATTTTTAGCTTCGAGAGAAAAACGGGGAGAACACAGCTACATTTTCCAGCCATAATGAATCGTTTACAACTTTTTTAAAAACATTAGTTTTTGTTGAGCTTCACACAACTAAATGATTGATTTTCAAGCGCTAAATTTGTTGACTTATTGTTCCGATTTTCGAAGAAAACAGAACATTTATGCTTGGTGCGGTTTTTTATTCAGTCAAATTTGGGCAATTCAATATGAGTTTACAACAAAACAAAAATAACAAAACATTTTAATGCCCCATTGAAAATATTAGCTCCCTGAAATCAAACTTAAAAAGATATTTTACCTCTTCAATGAGTTTTTTCAAGTTTTGGGAGTATGAAAAATACCCATTTGGCCATGCTCTGGACTAATTTATACGCTCATTGAAAAAATTTATTTTATCATAAAAACGTAACGCGAATTATTTATGCGTGGCGAGTTATCCCGCACAACAGAACTGTTCCAAATTGAATTCAGGCTGGCTAGGCTCTCCTATTAAGTTTGTACGACTCAAATTTTCAAACTTGATCTTTGATATTGTCAAAATTATAGTTTCTCAATATTTTCGTTTCCCAAAAAACTATTCGATAATGATCATGGAGAGTCGGAACGCTCAGGACTTTGCCCTGCTGTACGAGCAGTTTTGTTTCGTTTTATTGTAGTGCCAATTGGGGATATAAATCAGGGATATGTTATCCAGGCACTTTTGAAAAATTTGCAGTTGTTCACAGCAAAATTTTACAGTTGTTAAGTTTCTCGAGATGACTTCAGTTTTTTTTTGTTTTTGCTTGTGGCTAGCTATTCTTCGTCATTTTGGATGCAATATATGAAATGGATCATGTTAACTAATAACCCCCCCCCCCCCTCCCCTATTGCAATAGGGGGAAGGGGGAATAGTTAAAAAGGTTTGGATGAAATTTATTAAAATAATTTCAACCAATTGGAATGCGAATTGAAATAACGTCAACCAATAGGAATGCGACAGAACACATTTCTGAGAAATACAAAACCAATCTATCCGTTTGACAATTAAACTTGCCGAAATGTGTTTTTTTTTATAGTGGGGGGATTCTTTACAAGGTACCATAGGGGGGGATAGTTAACCTGAGTCTATGAAACTTTAAAAAATCATAATTAACTGCTGCAACAAATCAAAAACTCCGTGCTATTTCAATTTCCAGCTTATCCTTGATTGCCTGTAGATCTGAGGCAAGTTTGTGTCTCCAGCTACTAGTGTCAAAAACTTCGATCAAGTTATTTTTTGTTCAACTCTGAAATTGATCTCATTGGTGTGATTTATTTTCGGTTGACTAAATGGACTGCTGTAGATGAAACAACCGTTCACGCTCTTCGTAGATACTATAATAAGAAACAAATATTTTTAAAAACGAACAACTGGATTTCACAGAGTGGTCAATATCTTCATCGGTTTTCACTAAGATGTCACCTGCGGGATTAGATGAGTTCGTATTCATGAAATGTATAAAAAAGTTTTGAATTTTATGCTATAGTGGATTGCAGTCAATTCGTGAAACTTTCGGTTTGCTTTGAACCCAAGCTAAAAGATCCTGTGTCTGTGATTTTTGCCTCACTTCTACTTTCCTGGTTTTGTTTAACTGTCATGATGATGACGTCATCTTCTTCCTTGAGCTTTTAAATTTTCAAAATATGCTCGTTAGTATCCTTTTGGTTTTGAAAAAACACATAACAGCCTGTTCGTCATTTTCTAGTTTTTCTAGTATTTCCGTCTCCGTTATTGCTTTTTTTTCGTTTTAACTTTTCTATCTTGTTTTTTCCAGTTTTTTTTGTCTTTGCTTTTGGTGTCTTGTAGAAAATACATTTTTTTGCATCTCTTATATTCTTTGTCTTGGTTTTTGCTCCTCTGATAATTACTGTACTTTTTTCACTGGTTTACCGTGTGGATACTGGTTCGCATACTATGATGTTTTTCTCAATTCCAATTTCAGTCTCTTGTTGCTGCTCTTGTTTCTGCATTCAACTTAGGTTTGATTTTTTGTTAGGGTGGTCGGTTTCTCTAGCAGGAGCTGCAGTAACAAATAACTTGCGAGTGATACATGTAATTTAGTACTTGTCCTTGAATTTGTTGCAAGGAGCACAAAAGTATTTCTATTACATTCTATTACTTTATCATCAGTCTTAAAAAACAAATTGCTACTACATTTTGCACTGCCAGGATTCATTTTAAGCTTCTGCTTCATTCTCTTTGCCTTTTTCAATTATTACTCTCTGACTAAACACTCCTCGTAACGATTTCAGTTGTTTTTTGTACAATATTTTGCCTCCTAGATGAGCTATCTTAGATGTGTTCGGAGTGTTCAACAACATGCTCACGTATAGTCCGCTCTGTGTGACTAAAATGCATCTTTCCAAAATCGCCGAGCTTTGACTAGTTGGGTTGCGGATCAAACATACCTCTTTATAATTACTGAGTTAACTCAAGTTCCTCAGTCCAAAAGTTCAGCTAAAGCCTCAGTTTCCGGTCAAGCTAACCATAGGGCTGGTTTCAATCTAACCTTAGGGTCTGAGCACCCTGTCCCGATTTATCAAGACTTTTTTTAACCTATTTTCACTTCATACTTGTTTTTGGGATCTTTTATTTAAATCATGCCGTGGTTCGGATCGGTGGTCAAGTCGTCGCATCCTGTGTTTGTTCATAAAGAACATCCCAGAATGAATTGGTCAGAGTCATCACAGTTCTCCACCTTGTTAAGCTAATCAAGAAATGTCTGCCTCTTATCTGCCGTGAGATTTTTGGTGTTCTGCCAGCTACAAAATTTCGCTTTGGCTTGCGGCAGCTAATTGAAAGTCGGTAGTTGCCAAATCCAATCTTCCGTAGCCCATGCCCGTCTATGTGCTGATAGTCACGACATTGACCACCGCTCCGGTGCCCAACAAGCCTTTGACCGGGAATTGTCTCCTCTGTTATGAGTGTTATTTGAGCAAACTCAGCATAAGCCCAGCTAAGACAGCCTCAGAGCCTTTATGAACAGCATCCGTTTCTCCCATCGCGTTTTGTCC